TGTCTCCGTTGGAAGATGGGAAGTATTGTGCACTGTGTATCAATTTTTCTTCTCAAAGTCCTTTCACATCACTGCTCCTTTGAGTTAAAACTTGCTAGGTTGCTATCAAATTTATTCCAAAATATCTATGTTTAGGTTGCTCTTTTGCTCTCAAATTATTGTTTGCTGTCAATCTTAAATGAGTTTTTTTTAGTATTTTTCCCCAAGCCATTCAAATTTCTTACATCTTTTAAAAATATTTTAAAATGTGGGAAATGAAAAAAGAAAACAATTTTGCGCAATCATTGTAGCCCCTCGAGATCGACCTGAAAATAAAAGAAGAATTAATACAATGGCAGAGTATATATTGTTGCCGTAAAGAAGGGCTGGGGGGACTAGTGGCATGACCCGGAGGCCATGCCGTCCAGTGGAAGTAGAAATACGGGGCCTTAAGGACCCGTGCAACCAAAATGAAGAGCTAAACAATCGGAGCATTACATAGCCCCTCTTGTCTTTCGAGCGCCGTCCCTGGAGCTCCCTTTGGCCGACCTCCCGCGTCGCCCATCACACCGTAGTCGGTGCTGTAGGAAAAACACCCACTAACCAGCCACGCCAGTCATCGAATATGCGTGCAGCTGGGCAGATATTTGATTCCAATGTTACTTATCCATCTCAGCAATCCCACTGAATTTGGAGTTACGTCTTGTTTGGGAATTGTAATGTGGGAAGAAGGAATGCACTAGCTATCCTCCTATGTCATTGATAATCGTAGAAACATTGGCCCAAAGGCCTAGTCATCTAATAAAGGACAGAATTTTAAATGGCTTTGTAGAAATAGGGTTTTGCGTCTTTTCCTTCATGTTCCTTTGTTCTCACTTCACCCCTACCTGTTCATGTCTAGACGGATTCTATCCGGTTAGTAGAGAGGTAGAGGAGGTATCGCGTGTTCAGTTAGCTGATATCTTCATACATGTACCGTAGACAGCTCCGTAACGAATTATTCCGGCTGGTTCATGCCTAATGTCGCTTTGGTTGTCAATAGCATTTCTACAAAACACGGGATTGGGATATTTGCCAATGGTGGGTGTCATTTTACCTCTTCTGTCAAGGGTCGTCGTCACAGATTCCCTGTCCGCAGCACATGCCCTTCTTTTGTCACGTCCAGGTTTTGCATTCCGTAATAAAAATTAGAGTTGTTGTTCTTCATGATCAGGTTCGCGTTCCTCTACTACCGTGTTGTCTTGAGGGTTCCTTGAAAAGAAAGAAAACATAATGCTATGAATGGGTAAGTGATCACAGCCAATGTACTTAGAGAGGGGTAGCTTAGTCTATCACCTGGAGGTGCTGATTTGTTATTATTTTCTCAAACCCTTCTGTGATTTTGTGATCATCCGATGACAGCTGGTCAATGCTTCGTAGCATGCTATTAAATATATCTTCATTCTTTCAAAGTGTAGGTAATCTTTTATCTTCATTTCTTCCCATAAATACAGAAATTCTGAAGGTGTTGTGTTATTGACCTTTCCATCTACTAGATCTTGTATAGCAGTCTTCAAAAGCCAAAGTGATTACGATGAAGCCGAGGCAGCCTGTAAGGAGGAGATAATGGAAGGAAGAAGACTCCTTTGCAGCCAGACGACTTCTGAGGACTGCAACAAACTATTGGAAGAGTACAGTTTAGGTCCATCAAAAGGAGACAGAGAGGGTTTGCAGATAAAACTCTTCAATCTACCCTATGGTGTTAGCAAAGAGGAGATTAAAAAGGCCTTCCCGAAAGCGCGGAACATCTTTTTGCCCCAAGACAAGAAGGGGAATCCCACCGGGTAGGAGTTATGCTCCAATATTTGCTTTTCATACTCGTTTTGATTTCCCCTGACTGGGTTGGAGGATTGTATTTGTTAAAACTCCACTTTCAAGCCTAGGCGGTAGTTTCTGTGATCTTCACGGCTTTTGTAGTGTCGTGGTTTTTTTGAGGATGAGGTGAAGTGCCCATTCGTTTCATCCTTTTTATCTTTCTATGCCACATCTTGGAAATGCGGATGGTTTGGGTGCTTTCTGTCAAAATTTAGCTAACCAAAAAGAGCTCTTTCATCGCCTGCTTGCTTTACAATGCACTACTAAGGGAAAAATTCTATTCTATGGGCTTTGTGCAGAGAGGGGAGACAGGACGGCCTAATTATCGCGCCTAGCTGGTCTCTTCAGATTTCAAAGACGTATATTTTTAAAGCCCCAGCTATTTGGCTCCATGCTTTGAAAGTACAGTAGTTCAAAAATTGATGCAACATTGCTGGCTGAAAGCAAAAGCTATTGCATGCTCGGTATTTGTCGCGTTTTTTGTTGGGAGACGCCTAAAGTGACTACCCTCAAGTACTCACACTTAACTGGTGTAACATCCAGGAACGTACTCCTTCCTTGATCCTCTCCTTCGTCTGCACCCTTTCTATAGCCGATCAAGCAAAACGCCGTTGCCCTAGAAGACTAGTCTGTTTATTTCCTCGGGACGTCAACCCACTCACTTGAGTGACAGACTTGGCAAATATGTGTGTCTGTTTATTTTTAGCGAGCAATGTTACTATAATTACGCTTTGTTTGAGGAATGCACTATTTTGCATCCTACAATTGCCATCTCTCCACTTTTATCGATTACCATAGGCCCTTTAACTTCGTGGGTGTCATTTGAACCGTATTGTATTATTGCAGGTAACCACTCTACTGCATTACGTAGCGATTCTGTTTATCCTTCCGTACATTGTTATTCCCCCCACCCTTTCGTTACTTTTTCACTTTGTTACTTTTCATTTGGCATAACGCATTATTTGGTGTCTGAGTGTCTATCCTTCTCCATTTAGCGTTGCCACAGAATAATTGGGAACTGTAACGTTGTCATTGACGCAGAGGTGCACTTTTTTGTCAGTCTAGGCTCCCTCCTTGTATACTGTCGCCTCATTTATTGCTTCCAGTTAAATTAGCAGCGAAATTTTAGTGCCTAAAATCCCTCCTTTTTTGTATATGATGGACTTAAACAAAAACAGAAAACTAATTTGTTTCCTTTGAGTTACTTACAATTCATCCACTACAACCCCTTCCGTTTATTCTGAGGTTTCTGAATATGCAATATTGGCACTAGTCCCTCTCGATGACAATGCGGACACCTCTGTGATTGCTGTATTGTGCCGGATTTTGTTTTCTCGTCCTCCTCTTAAGAAATATTTTTGCGCTCTTCTGTAGATAAGTGGAGCAGTATTTGCTTTCGCCAGATTTATTTGTATTTTGCTTTTTCTTATCTAGCATCGCCATCTTAACATTCAAAACGAAGGCCATCTGTCAAGCCGCTCTTGGACGTGCAAAAAACGTGAGATTGCAAGGTCGACGACTGCGTGCAGAAATTAATGGTGAAAAGATTTCCCTCTACTTTCTCTAGCACACCACTGTTTATGTGTCCACTCTTCTGTCCGGTTAATTTCAGTATCAGCACCCAAGACGGATGGGGAAGGTAACTGTACAAAGCGGAAGCCTAGGCCAAGCAAGGCCCAGCCCACAAAGCTTCGTTGTAGTGATGCACAAAAGTCGCAACCAGCCAAGAAGCCGAAGCTCAATCTATCTGAAGGTACTTCAACTTCGTATAAGTTTTGAATTTATCAACAAAAAGGCGTCCTGAAGGTCAAATCTGATTGACCGAATCTTCGATTTTGTAGATGACGACGGGGGGAACAATTGGTGATTGTGATGACCTCCGGTTTTGAACCATGCATGTGGGTTAAGTGGTGCTGTGTTTATACTAGAATAAAAAAATTTATGACTACAGACTTCCATGCATCATTGCGCTCATTTCCCCGGATTTATGGAGGCCAATGAACCAAGTGTATGTGAATGCCTTTTTTTCCGGAAGCTGGGGCAACGGTCCAATCATATTCCACTGGAACAGTTAGCATTTTAATTATTGCAAAAAGCGCATTACTCTGTATTAGTTGAATTTAGGTCTTGTAGAGACTGTTTTTTTGTAGTTAAAGTCTGCAACTCACGTGATTGAGTTAATTCATCCGGTTTGAATAATGCCATGCTTTTTGAAAATTGTCTCTTTAGAAGTAACCACTTATATCTCTAGTCTTAATGAAATGGGACCTTCGAACCCCTGCCAAAATAGATCTTGAAAAGTTGGAGCAATTCTTAGCACCCGTTTTGGAAGGATTTTGAAATCCGTTTGGGGAGTCCTGTCCTGAATTATTTGAATTTTAGAGCCTCGTTATCGGGTGGCCGATTCCAAAAAGGCATAGCTCTTTCTTAACTATCCACAGACGTCTTTGTTGATACAATTCCGCAACACCTTTGTCCTTACTTTGTTCCAAATGAATCCCGTTGCGCCATTCTGATTCAATATTTTTTATAGTCCATTGATGCGGAAAATCGTTCACTAACGGTTGCGGGCAAGGAAAGAAGTTGTTGGTCACGATTTGTACAAAATAGTATTTTTTATTGAGACCCCAAAGAGGCAGCCACGAGCGTTAAAATGCGACCCCACATTTAACTGTGAAGGGACCGCAAGATTTTTCGAAATTTGGTTTATGCTGAAGGCACTCGGTCCCATCTGCCCAGAGGTGGAAAATCTCGGTTGACGAAGGTTAAAGTTGCGATTCATTTATTCAAAGCAATGTGAGTCTTATCAGTCGGGCCGAGTTAATGGGTAAGGTCATTTGTTTACCCTTTTATGTACCATCTCTGATCTACAGATATTCCGACTTTCGGTAGTGGCGGGATTGGAGCAGGGCGGGGTGGGGTGGAACGATTCGAGTGTGTCCAGTTGCTGTATTGTGGCTGCGCAGCTCTACAAGACAAACGCTTTTCTGTCAAGGCCTCCTCTCTGCATGCCCCTGCTGCAACATTAAATCCTCCCAGACGCCTCTGCTTATTAGGGGCGTTATCTCGTGAAGCAGCTTCTCGTACCCAAATCGGTCTATGCCGTATTTTGCACTGTCTAGACGGTGCATACATATTCAGGTATAAAATCTACGCTCAACGACGTAAATCCCCTTGGCGCATGCATTATTAACTCCAACTTTCATTTGATCCCGTGATTCACCATTTCGAGTCGCATAGGTTAAAATTAAACAAACTTATATCACCTTTCATTTGCTTACTTAGTTGGGTTTTTAAACAATATTTTATTTTTAACATCTCCAAGGCAATTGCTTCACCTGCCAAACGTCTCCCAACTTGTTGCTCCTTTTTGTTGCCACCTCATAATGTGTGACTTTCGGAGGGAAAAAAATCCTACAACGCGAAAACTGGCCTGCTTTCTACCAGCAATTTTTAAAACGAAAGTTGTTCTTTTTTTATCTGAATGCAAATTTACGCTATTTAAGCTATTTGCATCAGCTACTGAAGTGGAGTGGGTTTATTAAGTAGGAAAACTAATTTTGATGTATTATCGTGAGGATTTCACTTGAAATTTTCACAAAGTGTGGGAACTCTTCAACTCCTTTCCTATCTAAACTGAAAGAAGTTGACTCTTCCATTTGGTATTTCTCCCGAATTTGATATCTTACAGATTTCTGAAAATCTTGGGTTCTCCATGCCATCACTTAATGAGGGTCGCAGGATAAGGCAAGTGACCTCCTCTGTAGCGCCTTGAGACTTGTCGGAAGACGATAGAAGGCACAATACCCGGGCAGAACTTGTATCGGTGACATGCAGCAGGATCTGAGGCTACTGGCATGGGCCGGAAGTCCGGCCGCCCGGTGAAGGTACAGTGAGGTGACCCTAAGTGGCCCCATTACCAAAGCCGAGGGTTAAACAAAAAACCAAAGTATCACTTCCAATGAGGGTATTTAGACGTGCAACTGTAGTAATGGGCATATTTCCATTGTGTCTTTTATTTTTTGCCTATCCATCAAGGGCAAATAGAGTTGTCAGAGGTAGGTGTGTACTTTTTTTCCCAGTATGAAAAAGGTAGCAATCTAGCTGCAAAATAAACCTCGTTCTTTGCCAAGCACAAATAATTCCACGATTGACCTGAGGCAATACTCTAACACAAGAGGGAGGAGGGAATTAAATAAAAATTGTTTAGGTAGTGGAGGAAAAAAATTGTGGATTGATTTTCCTCAAAATGCACGCTTCCAGAGGAAGCAGGCGGTGCAATACTTTTTTGCCATTGCTGACCAATCACGTTAGCGTGTTCACCTCCTTCTCCTTCCACAAATCCCCTTTTTTTTAGTCAAGCTGAAATGAACTTTGTGATTTGTTCTATTAAAAGAGTTTTACTTCTTTGTAATGAAAACTTTCGTGAGAGAACAATAGATGAGACAATGGGGGAGTAGACAAATTCATACTTAATTCTAGTAGGAAAATAAGGGATAAGAATGGCAACACTATTTTTACGGTGGCAATACAGTCTCTGCTAGTTTTGGATGATTAACATACGCAGCCCTGACCACATTTCTTAGCGGTCGCTCGACATTCCCCATTTTCACCCTTCCAGTCGTGTGAAGTTGTGGCGTGTCAATGTGCCCTGTACCTTGAATGGATGTGTCATACATTTAAGGCATCATTTTTACAGCATCAAGTATTTAGATTGAGACTTCGGAGTAGGAAATTAACTAGTTGAACTCCATATCGTCGTCATACAGACAGAAAGCGTTGCTAGCATTTATTGCCACGTAAATCAAGAATTATGGGACTTCAAACACGCCCTTCGTTGCGCTCTACAGAGTTAATTTCATTTGTTGTTAAATTACTTTCTGAGTCGTTTTCGTCGTTAAAAATAAACTTTATTAAGTGCCGCTGAGTTAACTCGCTTGATTGCTTCCAGATAACGCGTTCCCATAACTGAAATAAAAGCTTTAAAATGCTGTTAGTAAAAACAGTCTCGGATAGTGCAAAACTTATACCGGTGGAATGACTTGGTTACCTGTTAGGCAGTTTATCCAACAAATCTAAGGTCGTGTCTGCCACCTCAACCGTGAGACAGGAGATTAATCCAAAATCAGTTTTCAATTGTAGATGCAATTCTAGTTATAAGGCGGCTACCCCTCGTGGAAGGCTCGCCATCACAAAGGTTATGTCGATTGCTTTTTTTACTATCCCTGCTAACATAAATATCACATGAAACGGAGCCATTGCGCTAATAGAGCAGGCAATGCAAAACTCATGCCTCCACCGCGGTCGATGTTAGGCCACTTTGTCTACCATGGGAAACAATATTTTCTCCATCATGCAAATGCGATCATTGGCTACTTATATTTCGCTATAGACTAAAGTTATAGCACTTTCGCTTTCAACTACTCACAGAGCATTTATTTTAAAAGGCGCTGCTAATATGACTACCTAAAATAATTCATTTCTGTGATTTTTGACTAAGTTTTGCTAGTTTACCCCATAGCACTTATTGGCAGCCCCATCTTATTTTGGCAAGTTCTTACGCTTACTCTGCCTCGAGACTATTTAGTTAAATTATTTTTATTAAACTTGTCCACTGACTTACACGTTTCACTGTAATAGCACTTTTTAAATATGGAGAATTCTAATTGGCTCTTGGACTTGTTTCTGATTGGTTGACTGTGAGCTTATTTCCACTGCCAGTTTCGGCTATAGTAGTGCCACAGAGAGCAGCATTTCTATTAAATTATACTTCAGTTCTCTCAATTTGACTCTCTCAAATTGTTGCTATGCCATCGTGCTGATGAAATAAAGGTCTGAAGGTGCGTTATTTTGAAAGACCGTTTAAAGTACATTGCTATCTTGTAAATTGGCAACCAATCACATCGTTTCACTTCAGCACTTAGTGGAATGAATAGATATTATCAGATTTACTTTTTCTGTAAACACGAAACTTTTGCAAGATATGTTTAGCTGAATCTTGAGCAACTGAATGAGCAATTTCTTTTCATAATTCCAGAAAAAAGGTTGCATTTAATAAAGTCAAATTTAGCTCTCCTGACCTCAATTTAAACATGAGAGGTCATACACTTTATACCTTAGCGATTATTACCGCCGAGAGTGTGTGGGTATCTGATTGAATGTTGTTGATGCTGCGGAACTCAGAGACCTACATAAATTGGGACAGTTGAATGCATTGTTAAACTTCAGGTGTCTCAAATGAGGCGCTTCACTACATCACGTGATAATCTGCAAGCTATTTTGCAGCGAGGTGAGTGCCTACAACGCCCTAATGTATGCATCTAAAAAAAAAAACATTTTTTCGGTTGGAAATGGAGGTTGCGAATTTCATTCCCCCATTTTCACATGCTGCGATGATTGTGTGCATTAACCCGCCGATAAATGAGTGGAAAGAAGGGTTCAAGTAATGTTTTCTATTTGTACACAGTGCTGAAAACGTTTACACTGCATGACTTAAAACTCTTAGCTTGACTGTAGCACACATTATTCATTTTTTCGTTGCGAATTTTTGAGAAAAGGTATTAAAATTCAACTCTTACTTCAGTAACCCATACTTGAATTAGCATTAACTCTGCATTAGCATTGGTGTCGAAAACAGTACGCGTAAGTTGGGAATATTCTACTTTCTTAGGGGTTTTGCGTTGTTTTTTTGCAATAGGAAATGCCAGAACAGCCCAATGACTATCGGGTAGCTGTTTTTGGAGCAAGCGGAGTAGGCAAAAGCTCCCTTGTGCTTCGTTTTGTAAAGGGAACTTTTAGAGAGGCTTACATACCCACAATTGAGGATACATTTCGACAGGTACGCTCCTAATATGATTTGCCTTGTTTGCTTATGCTGCTCTCACGCAAGCCTCCTCATGCCAGCTACTCTAGCGTCCACATTACACACATGTATTCTGAGATAGTTGCTAGAGATTTCCAAGAGGGCTCGGAGACTGCTAGAAATGATTGAATATTGTGCATTCAGTGGTATGATGTGGATCTCTAGAATCCTACCTTACGAGAAAATGGGGATAGCTCAAATTGTGGGATTTCGCTTGCAGGCCTTTAGTTTATCAGGTGGAGCTCTTGTTACCTTAACACAGTTTCAAAAGATAATTTTCAGGTTTCTATCATATAATTGTTCAAATACTTCTGCCTTCATTAATTGGTGGACTACAATATGATGCATGAATTTATGTCCCAGTACTTACAACAGCACTGCAATATTTTAGTTGGTTCTATTTTAAACTTAGTTTAGTTTTCACAAACAATCTTGTTGGGTAGAATTTGTTATCTGTCTTCCATCAAAATTGTCGTGTAAAGATGAAATTCTCTTAGGCAAACAGACAGCGATTAAACTAGACCAGCTAATTGAAATTGTATGGCGTTCTGAGATTGAATTTACTTGCCTCTAATAAAGCATGTTCCGTAATTATTTTATCATGACTGAATAATACACTGGTTTTTAACCAGTATTGCCAAAAAACTGCTCATTTCTGTGATTTCTTGAATTTCTTCTAAACTTACAATGCTTTTTTATCGCTAACTGATCGGCTAAAATAGTAATAACGTGATGATTTTAATGTGCAGTCGTTTTAACCTTTGAATAATTACAGGCCTAGACAAGACTGCCCCGAGACTGTCCAAGAATGCCAATTTTCTTTTCTAGCTTGCGCAGGATACCCTTCAGCTGTTCGAGTCTCGTTCTCATTCATGATTAAACAGACATTTTTTTCTCCCTAAGCATTTTCCATGCAGGTTTTAAAAGCACGTAATCTGCAACTGCACGGTTGTCTTAAGTCAACAGAGAAAAATCCTTTTTTAGGTCCTGCTGGTATCAATTTTTGATGCTGAAAAGCATGACTCCTGGCTTCCGTACAGAGGGAGTGTTTGCCTTTCTACCAGCGCGGCGCCTTTAACTACCGCTCAGACGGAATCCATAATTACTCACACGCGTAAAATATTTAGGGTTTACATCAATTTTTTTCGCAGTAAATTGAACAGCTGTAGGCTTTCAATTCAGCCGTTGCATTAATAATTCATCGTGCACGTTAAAATACCCAATGTAAAGCCACCGTAAGGTTATAGTTAAACACTTACTTCAAATTAACAAAATAACTATGGAGAAAGTCATTATTTTTTGTTCGTTGGAGGTTGTCTCTTACTGTTTTGTCTCCGAGTAATTTTAATGAGGCGCAATACTAAATGTTTTGGCGTACTTTTTTAGCGAACTATGGGCATGATCTTAGTGAAAAAAAAAAGATAGTATAAATGAAAAATTAGGAATTTAACCAACCGAGTTTTGATTAATGGGTTATGAAAGGTAGTAGGTTTTGTCCTTTTCTAAGGGGATATTTTCGTACAATCTAACTTTGACTCTGACTTTTTAATGCTAATTCACTTTTCTACTAACTGGTTTTGACTTTTTTTCTACCTTTCACACTGAATCGCTTAAAACATCACAATTTTTGAACCATCCTGTCTTAAGGATGAAAATAAGTTTCAAGGGAAAAACCGTGATTACTTTATGGGATTTAATCTTGCAAAGAATGCAGACAAAATTCCGCACATATGCGCATATTATGCATACACAAAGTGTGGAGCATTGTAGTTGTTGCGTCCCGGGACTCCCTGAAGACGAAAGAAGACACAATACTCGGGCAGAATATATATATTCAGCACGGAGAAGGTGTCTGGGCTATTGGCATGACCCAAAAAGGCCTGCCCACCCAGCGAGGTACAAGGGGGCTAATTCGAAGTACAAAAGTGGCTTCTCACCAGAACCGAGGGATAAACCACTATCGTATTACAGTATTCGGTTCTCCGAGCCTGATGCCAGTTTTAGGTAACAGCTTACCCCTCCCCCCTCTTTTTTAGCAGTTATTTATGTAATGCTTGGATAGTTTGTTCTCTTTTGCGTTTTGGATGGGTGGGCACTTGAGGCTCCACCATTATACTTCCGCTGGGCGACATGGCCTCTCAGCCCTATTTTACGTCAGCAATACATTTTCTGCCGGACTACCGTAACTTCGTACAACTTTGGGAAAGGCTCGAGTTGATGCATATACTGGTTTGCTACTCTCTGACAGTGGTGTCAACTTGGCATCAACTGTAGCCTTTTAAGAGGATAAATATATATGAGATGGGTTGCGTAGAATTAATTATACTGAGTCCAAAAGCGCTTGCTTATTACCATGGGCTAATAGGCAGGCAAAATTTTTAATCAAAGCGGAAAATTCACTCTACATTTCTTTTCTCCCAAGGGTATTTTCGTTTCCTCTATATTGCCTTTAAAACTGATGTCATGTATTCTTTGATGCAAGGCCTTTCTGGTGCCAAATTATGCGTATACTTATTTAATATTATACGTATCGGTAATTCTTGACGCTAATTTCCTAACTTAGTTACTCAAGTAAACAAAACGTTTTGTTGCCTAATAAACTGCGAATAGATTGGTCAAAGTACCTCCTAATAAACTGTTCTGCTTGGTAAAACTAGACATAATTAATTTCAATCTCATTACTGCCTTAATTAGTCGTAATTTGCAATAATGTGAATAAGTTAGTTACTGCATTGCATGGCTTTTATAATTTCAGGGGAAAATGGAGCTTGTGGTTTCATTTTGGTTATTTCTTGACCTGAATGAGTATTTTTTGGGACCAGCAATCACGTTTAGCCTTACGTCAACGTCAAATGCCCTAGCTTTATATAAAACAAGTAAAATTTTGCTTTAATGGATAGAATTAAATTAAACATTATCTGTGGCTGGCTAATAGCGCCACTGATTAGATACTTGACGTAGCGATTACGATAAAGTTAACCGCGTCGTTACAGCAATTAAGAACGTATAATAATTACTTGTTTTTGGTAAATAACACAATTTTCCCTCTGTCTCACTTCAGGTTATAAGTTGTAACAAACAAGTCTGCACCCTGCAGATAACCGACACAACAGGAAGTCACCAATTTCCCGCTATGCAACGTCTAAGCATCTCCCGAGGTCATGCCTTCATGTTAATCTACTCAGTTACTAGTCGCGTCTCCCTCGACGAGTTAACGCCAATCTACGAAGAGTTAGTCCGAATTAAGGGCCCTAGAGCAATGCGATCCATTCCTATAATGCTGGTTGGCAATAAATCTGACGAAGGTGATACTGGTCGTGAAGTGTCCACAATCCAAGGGGAGGCCGTGGCACAAAAATGGAATTGCGGATTCATGGAGACATCGGCAAAGAACAACGTTAATGTGAAGGAGGTCTTTCAGGAGTTGTTACGCATGGAGACAAGGCAAAATATGACTCTAGTTGGCGACACCTCAGATTCCAAGGGCATCCTTTCCTGTTTTCGTTTCCTGAGGCATGGGAGCACTCATCGAGGTGGCAGTCGGGGCGAGAAGAGTGCTGCCAAGCCCCTCCCCACAGATACAACAAGTTGAGGTGCACAGCTTTGTGTGACGAAATATTTACACCATCTCTGTTAATTATGACCGAGAGCATGCATTTAATCCTGTACTGCAGATACTTTTGTAAATTGTAGGATTGACAATTGTAAGGGTATGTGCCCCGGGGTCAAGTAAACTATTTTACACTTGACTTCTCCAGGATGTTGTCACCTTTGGTGACTCAAAGTGACTGATGTGGGAATGCCTAAACAAAATTACCTATGAAAAAGAATGGCCGTATTCCATATTTAAAGACCTTGGCAACTCTATTTTGTCCCGATTCTTGTCCGTAGCTCGGAAGGATAAATAGCCCATGCAATTCATCTAAGCGCCTCTAATAACCTCGTAATTATACACAAGGGGAGCTTACTTAATCGGTACTTAAAAGTTTATGTCAGGGTTAGAAATAAATGTGGAATATTTGGTAGTAAAAAAATGAAGTCCTTCATCGATTGCAATCTCATTTAACTAGCGTTAGTTCAACCAGGAGATGATCTGGAATTTTAATGCCTACATAAGGCAGGTTTAGCCTCTGGAGAATTCGTACTCACATCACCTAACTATTGTCCACCCTTAAAGGAAGATAAAAATAGGCTCCAATCATATCACATAGCTTTTAATTACCATATTTGAAGAATACTTTCACTTGACTTCTCTAGAGCCGCAGACATGCTTGCATATTTGGGTTTTCCGCACTTGTTGCTCACCTCCACCGCCTTCTCACAAATTGGAAATTTTTGGCCAAAAAAAGCGGTTTAGAATGCAGTGATGCGGATCAAAAGTCCTCGCTTTCCCAGGCCGACCGACAAACGAAAGTGCGGAGGAGGCATTCACGGAACCGGTGGTGCGTTGACTCGGCATTGATTGCCCTCCCGGGCCTTCAAGGGAGGCTGTATTGCCGTCTACTTGATGCCGCTTATATTTTTTTATAAATCACACACAAACATTAAAATTTATTTAGGAGAAGTTATAAATACGTCTAGGCTTTGACATTGTTTCCAGTCAAAGGAAGTCGAAAGTTTTATTAGTAAGACTGCCAGGGTGGTAGTGGAAGGCCTTAAATCGGGAAATTATTCCCCATTTTTTTGGGTGGTAAGTCACGGTGACCAGAAAACGGCTGTGATCTTGTTTGTAACATAATATTCTTTGCTTTTAAATGCTGATTGTAAATACAAAATTAACCAGTCACATAGTGTTTAAGGGGATGGGGAATCACTCCACAAGCACGGTTAGAATCGCACTAGAGATGCCTTTCAGTAATCGGTACGAACGGAAGTGTAGCCTGAAACAAAACTTGTTACATAATTGTAAGTTTTATGTACTAAAAAAGCTACTTCATTTCCTGTAGTATCATGCTCGTGGTTTTCTACTGCGGGGTTTTCTCCTCCAAAGATATCCAGAAAGCGAATGGGGAAAATTAATCAGGCTGCCGCCGTCTCAGTTTTATCTCGCCTTCCAAACTAAATGGAAAATGGGGAAATTTTTTAGTATTTTCAGGAGAGAATATTAAAAATGGTTTTGAATAATTAAGGAGCACGCGGTTTAGTTGAAGAAATTGTTAGATCTACAGGAAACGCTACGTGGTTACCAAACGGATTTTAAATGCAAATACTAAAGTTGACAACTTGACGGCTTCACCTGTTGGCGCAGCACTCAAGCCCCAAGTAAGAAGTGCAAATTACAAAGCATGAAGTTGCATGCATTATGCTTACACATAACCAACGTCAACCCTTTATTAAAGACAAGGATTTTGTATCGGGCTCGGTGCTTCTTTCCTTTACCTCTGCCTTCATTCTTTTTTAATGAGCTGATGAGGTGGACAAGGACACGTTTCATGGAGTAGCGACAGATGGAGTGGTACCGATATCTCGGTTGGGCGTGTTTAGGTCACTTCACCTCCTCAGGGGGCCGATGGCATCCGATTTGTCACAAGGTTGACGATCACTGACCGCCTCCCGCCTGTAAGATATATTTAAACAAATGCGTGCTACAATTTGAACGCTTAGTCAAGCTGTCCCGATTCAGTTTTAAAAGAACTTTCGTAGGGGCACAACCATCAGATTTGGCAGTAATGTATTGTGCCTACTTGAAGCGGCAAAGAGATATTGTGTTTGGACATCAGTGAGGATACTTTGGGAGTTGTTACCTTGGCGATACTTTTTAACCCATGCTCTAATTGGGAAGAAATACATCTTAAAGATAATATGCCCCTTAGAACTGTGTGTATTACTTTGGTTTTTGTTTAATTCCCCGTTTTGGTTGTGCGGGCACCTCCGCTAGACAGCATGGCCCCCGGGCCGCGACAGTAGGCCTCCAACCCTCCTGTACGTCGGTAATACTTTTACTGCTTTCAAATTGTGTCTTCTACCGACCTAAAGAAAGATTCGGCTGATGAAGTTGACTAGAGGTAAATAATTGGTGTTTGAATGGTGATTCCCATAGCGGAAAGTCTTTAAACCAGTAAATTCCCTTCCATTTTTATATCTCTTTAAGTAAGGTGTTGCAAACCCGATGAGCCCTCTCATAATGCCTGGCATTACAATTCCCTTTTCCTGGAATGTAAGCTCTTAATTGCGGCTATTTACAAACATGCAACAATTCCCACTTTTTGCCATGGGCAATGCATTTGTGCACTGACTTCCCAAAAATCACTTTTATTATCTGTAACTCTCAGAGTGAGGAATATTTCTGCCTCACCTTTGCGTGTGTGTGTGTGTGTGTGTGTGTGTGTGTGTGTGTGTGTGTGTGTGCGATTTCTCAAAGGAATTTGATGTGTTCAAAGGAAAATTGCAGTTATTAGGTATTCCAACATACGCACGTACATACAGATTCAGTTTTCATATCAAAGTAAGAACAGTTTTCTCCAGATATAAAAATTTAGTTTAATTTTTTCCAGAATGATATAATGATTTTCGTGTTTTGCATTGTCCAACTCTTGTCGTACTGGTGCAAGTGATAAGAGCTGTGGAAATATTTGATCAGTCGTGTAATGATGCAAGAGCAGATTGTGTCCGTTCTGACCTAACTTTCAACATTCTACCTCGTGCACTGTGTAAACCGCCTAATAATTCGCCTTTTTCAAACCCAGAGAAGGAGTTAAATTGAATTAAGCTAAGAAGATTTTCCACCCCAAAATCTCATGGATTCTGACTAAACGCTTATATCCAAATTTCGTTGATCATGGAGTGCCCCTACGTCTGGCACAACAGTTTTTAAGACCATGCAAATCTTTGGTCAAAACTCTGTCTTTCTCAGATATAAACAGGCATTTAAGGACAAGGGATAAGTTGGCGGTGATAGTACTAGGCAGATGAAAGTGTTTGATTGCCCCCAAAGGTAACATCAGAACAAGCGATTTCGCAGAAATTAAGTAATTAGGTGAATCGCACATCCATCGCATCAGAATTGAACACCTCTATTTTAACATTTTCACGACTTGTGAATTTTTTAATGGAGCAATTTATGGCAAAATTACTCACTCCGCTTGGGTCAATTCTAATATAATACGATAGTGGTTTATCCCTCTGTATTAGTGAGGCGCTACTTTTTGTACTTTGAATTAGCCCTCTTGTACCGCCCTGAGTGGGCTGGCTTTTCGGGCTATGCCAATAGCCCAGACACCTTCTCTGCGCTGAATACATATTCTGCTCGAGTACTTTGTCTTCTTTCGTCTCCAGGGAGTCTTGGGACGCCACAATAATATGAGCAAACTTAACCAAAGAAATGATTCGTAAGGAACCATGTAAAAGCGAGGAAAGCCAGAAATTGGTGGTAGTGGTATTTTGAGAAAATACGCACAAATACATGGGAAGAAAAAACCGTTTCAAACCAAAATTTGCATAAAGATGCCAGAACGTGTGATGCATATGGAATCACTATTATTATTTTTAAAAAAATTTAGTCCGCGTCTTATATTAAAATCATATTTTTGTTACATTTTCTCATATGGGACAAGAATTATGCACTCATTATGATAATTTTGATAAATAATTACCTAATGGTGTGAGTACAGAGTTTAAGGGTGTTTTGCTCTAGAATTTTTCATTTGGCTCTTTAAGAAATAGTATTGCTAAGTAAAGCGATTCGTGAACCCCTTTTTTGGACATAAAGCAACCTAAAATAACTAGATACTTTTTGTTATCGTTCAAGGTCACTGGGGGTGCGTTCTTCTCTCTTCATGCCTTGCTCCATGTTATCGTGTGAATGCTTTTGCGATGTTTATTAATATCGGTGGAGAAGCATCAGGAAGCACTGAAGATGACAACAATGTTGGAGATCGGAACCGGTTATCAACAGAAGAGGTTATGTCTCTTTGTGATTACGACCCTGCCGATGTTGAGTTCGTCATTTCATCGAGTGATTCCGAAACAAATTGGAGTTTTGAACGGCTGCCACTGCCGAACAAATTAAGTGAAGACTCCGAGCAACGCCATTCCTCACATCAATCTGCTTTCCTGCCCCCAGGTAATCGGACAGTTCTTAATAGAAGCATTTGGAATGCTCATCCTTCACATACAGTTCGAAAATACCAAAGTCAATCTGATGATGAAATAACTAAAACAGATGCTCATTTGAATCAGGCGCTCCCTCCGGATCAACACTTTTTGGATGAAACCGATGTACACTGCCTTCGTTGCCGTAGATTCCGCTTGATTCGAAGTCCCATCAAACTCTTGTCAAGCCCTCTGAAAATATCCGAAGTATTTGTTAAATCAAAATCATGTTTTAAGAATCGCTTCGTTACATTCCTTTTCATCCTTGTTTCTTACATCTGTTTTATGTGCATTGGTGCCGCGTGCTTTCAGCTAATCGAAAAGCCTGTCGAGTTTCATTCAGAGAATCTCGATGAAGTTATTCATATTTTGGAAAGCTGCAACCATCTTTCATGTAAGTATGGTGCTCATGTGTTTTTGTTTTCAGTTTTAGAATCGCTAAGATTGTTCTGTCTAATTTCTGCTGTAAAGTTTGCCTGGGTATAATACTGTGCATGCCAAGCTAATTGTAAAAAAATGGGCCTAAATTGGTGTTTATCTCAATATCCTTATATTTATGTCGGTTTTACTAAACCATCACTGTTGTTATAGTTTATGACTCGGGAATTACGTATGCTTTAAGCAGTTCGCATCCTCTAGAACCACTACAAATTTATAATAGTTGATAGTAATTTGTAATTGATGCCTGTGCTTTCGGTATTTTGAATATGAATGTTCGTACAAATGTCCTTAATTTGAACTTTAAAATATGGGTTTTGATCACGATTCCTATCATTTCAAAATAGTGTATTCGAAGATGAAGCACTGATGGCGTTTGTGATTTTGCACATATTGACCAAAGTAAAACCCGCGTGCCCTCATCTAGTACATGATATTATCTAGTGGTCAATCAATTGCATATGAAAGGCTTTCTAGACCTGATAAATCTTTCTCTTATTTAAAGCTCAACATCTTCAATCATTGTTGACCAGATTATCAATTATGCCTCCCACCAGACTGAGAAATCATCTGACTCGTGCAAATGGTCAGCGAACATCAG